GACAGTTTTGTCGAAAAAATTCATTGAGTAAATTTTAAAAAAATATATAAGTTTTTCGGTTCAAATAATTTCAGATTCAAAGGTTCAAAGCACAAATTTCGGTTCAAATAATTTTCCGTCTGAACAGCAACTTAATTAGAAATTTTGAAAAAAATTCTATTTCAAATGTGCAGACGCCTAACAACAAAGATCTTATCTTTATTCATTTAAAATTTTAGCTGATGTAAAATTAGACAAATAAGACTTTCAAGAAATTTTTAGTCAAGATAAAGATGTTCTTAGTTTGGATGGGTTGAGACTTTCTGATCGGTGTCTTGGAATTTTGGTGGAAACCTCTACAGAATCATATAATAATTCTTTGATAATAGCAATTCAATTTGGAAATTGATAAAGAATTTTCTGTCTCTTTTCCTGATAAATGAATAAAACAGTAAGTAATTGTACATAAAGGAGAACAAACTTGAACACTTCCATCTTTCCGTTTGAAATCAATATTTCTATGAACAAATAAAACAACACATGCAGTGTTTTGATAGAAACCCACAATGACTGAAAATTAAACAATTATAAATCAAATAGAAATGAAATTTCTTTGATACGCCCTTCAAAACAGATCAATCTACTTCAATTATTCTAACATTAATGTAAAACAAACACGCCAAAATTCATTTTTTGATAAGAAGAAAGTACCAAAACTTGGATTTTTGCAAAAAAGTTTTTACTCTTTCTTGGGTTACCTTTTTTAAGGAACAGACGCAAAAACCATTTTCCGTTCAAAGCTGTTTAATAAAAACTTTTAAGTTTTTGAGCAAGATGTATTTTTCAATTTAAAAAGTAATATAAAGTCACGCTCTGATAATTTTAAAAAGTAATCAAAAGTCACGCTCTGATAATAGCAATTTACTTTGAAAATTGATGAGGTACTTTCTGTTTCTTTTTCTGATAAAAGAATAAAACATTAGATATTTGAACAAAAATAAAAAAAATTGAAATCTCTCATCATTCCGTTTGAAATCAAATTTTTTGTGAACAAACAAAGCAACAGATGCTGCGTTTTGACAGAAACCCACAATGACCATAGATTATTCGATTATAAATCAAATGGAAAAGAATTTTTTTTTGATACGCCCTTTAGAACACATCAATTTATTACAATTATTCTGAAATTGTAAGACAAACACGCCGAAAACTAATATTTCTTTCGATAAGAAGCAAGTACCAAAACTTGGGTTTTTGCCACAAACTATCCGCTCTTTCTTGGTTTCATTCAATTTATGGAACAGACGCAAAACCAATTTCCATTTAATGCCGTTCAGAATAAATTTTAGAGCTCTTGAGCAAGAAGTTCCCATCGAAAGAAAACCAATTGAAGTTCTGGATTCAAAGGAAAAAGTTCCTAAAAATGGGTTGGTTTGGTTCAAAATGTAGAAACAATTGAAAAATGAATCAAAAGTCACTTGTAGCCTATCGAAGTAGAAACTCAGACACTAATTGGCAATGTATTGACTTTACCGAAACCAATCGGCCAAAGGGGTTACAGAAAAAAAAACAAGAAAAAATTGCCTTTCTTGCTATTTTTTTCTCAACACAATCCAAGAAAAACGGATGTTTAATAACCAAATTCAAAGGTCCGGTTCGGTCAAATCCAGAATCATTGCTCTGCGTAAATTTTTTTTCAAATGAACCCGCAAGATATCAAAGTTGCCAATCAATTTAATTTTTTTTGCAATTCAACCAAAAATTATGGCTCCGCCACATTTAAATTTTAAAATCTAATTTTTTCTTAATCACCAAACTTTAATTTTCAGCATGTCACAGTGAAACAGTTTCATGATAATGTGCAAGAAATGAATATTCGAAAACATTTGGGACCTTGAATTGTTCCTGCTTGGGATTTAATCGATTATAAAACGATAATGGTGCCGTTCATTATCAGTGCTGCATAGATCAAAAGAATTTTCCCAATGACTTGTAAAAAGCAAAAACAAATCAATAATTCAGAAAAGATGACCAATGGATCCTCAGATGATTGACTTGATCCTTTTTCAAAATTTTTGAAAAAAAATTCTTGTAAAAGTCGAAAAACGCTCGAAAAATTATCAAATTATTACTCCTTTTCAGTTTCAATTTCATAACAATTGTTTGTCGCAAGATACGCTTTTCTACGTCTTTTAAAAAATTCAAAAAAAAGGTTTGATTTCAAAATTTTTTCAGGCTTTTTTATTGGATCTTTCATAAGCATTCATAAGCATTTCTCAGGATATTTTACTATCTTGATTTGTCAACTAACGAATTTTGATAGAAAAAAAAGCATGAACGCACTCGAAGAGTAGGTCTCATTGAAGTTTTTTTTGGCTGAATTAAAAATAAAAGAGTTGCGCCGCAAAGAACAGTACAGAGACCATTGTTATTTATTTTGTTTTTCCATCATGGTGAAAAACGTAACTCTGATGGATGTATTTTAAAACAGTATGCAGACGACTGCATGACGCATGCGTCGTCTTTATACTCAATTGAGCTCTGAGCAAATTACAAAACGCTTTAGTTGTGCTCATTTTCATTTTTGCTGAGAATCAATTATATATAATTATATCAAAACTGGAGTTCCTAAATTTTTGACGATATAAAGATAGTCAGAATGTGGAATCAGCCGCCGTGTTATCAACGATTGGTATGTGAAAAAGAAAACTGTAGGCAAGCACTTAGGTTCAATACTAGGTTTTAATTTGTCTTTTTAACCTCAATAAAAACAATTTCTGCAAAATTGGCTAAAGCAAAAAAGACCGATTGGACAGACAAATAGTTTTGGTTTTCTTGCTTCATTGTTTAGTTTAATCCAATTTAGATTGGACAACAACTGTATACAACGATTGGACAACAACTGTCTACAATAGTTTCGGTTTTCTTGCTTCATTGTTTAGTTTAATCCAATTTAGATTAGGAAACGTTTTTTGCAGCAAAGAATTGCATCGTCAAAAATGTATTTACTAAGGCTATTGAACTGGGCGCTTAACCAGACTTTTTCTGATCCAAATTAAAATTTATCTGCTGCCCTGCGTAACAAAAAATCCTTTATCGCAATTACCAATAGCCTAAGACAGAATTAATAATCGCAGAAAACAAAACGTTCTTTAAAAACATTGTTCAATCACTACCAACAAAAATTTGTTTTCACCTTAAGTCTAAAACATGGAACTCATCACCAAACAAATTACTAAAAACTGATAACACTAGCGAAATACAATCTCGTCCAGTATATCGCAAACAAACACAGTTTCGTTTTCATAATTGGATTTTTTTTATCTTAAATTAAATTTACCGATGTTTCTTGGATTAATTATATAAAAATTTAACTTTATATATTTTTTTTCCATTTTTGTCGTTGATTTTGATTTGATTCAATTTGATTGATTTTAGTTTGAGTTTTGTTATAGCAGTAGTTTCATTGCACTTTAATCAGTTGTCCAATTTATTTGACAAAATTTTTTTTGAGAAACAAATATGACAAATGAAACTAATTTTAATTACCTTTTACTAATTTGATGCAGCGACTTTTAACAGTATTTGAAGCTTTACTGTTCTTCTTCTCAAATCTCGTTGCTTTTTTCAGGCAAAAAAGGCCACGACTTCTGTCTTCAGTTACATCCATTCCGCTAAAGCATCTATGCTTTTCACAAAGTTTTGAACCTAGTGAAACCCAAGATAAATTCTAAGCTCCTAATTTGTCAATTTTTACTTCAGTATTTTGCAGTCCAGTTTTATCTTACTAAGCATTAAAACCTTTTTACAACAGCAGTTTCTAGCTTCAAAACCAATTCAAACTTTTGTTTTCAATATTGCGTTGCTTCGTTTTTGTGTTCCATCCTTGTGCTCCAAACCAAAAGTTTCGCCAGGGGTAGCTTTCGCGAACACTGCTGAGGCTAAAAAAGCAGTTAAGCCTTGTAGGCGAGCGGAAGAAAGACCAAAGCCATCATTGACTGCCGGGACAACTGCATGCAAAAACTGGTTATCCTATATTTTTGCTTTTGTTATCTTACATAATAAGTTTCTTGAACTTCGATCGTGTAAATCCAAAAAAAAAAACAGTTCGCAAAAAGCAAAATTTTGTATTGTATTTTTTTTGAGTTTTTGCTTGCAAAATCAAAACTTAGGCAATGAAACCCATGCTATGCACCCAGTTTGACAAAAAATTCCGAAACTACTTCCAATTCAGCTATTTTTTTATGTAGCAATTTTTTACGATAAGATTTGCCTCTATGGATTTGATTTTTTCTGACCAAATTTTTATAATTGATCTATAATTGTAGTCAACTCCGTACTTCTGGTCGTTCCTAGGATACACATCTCACCTTTTTCTGTGTTTAGGCTAAGACCATAATTTTGCATATTTCTGTGTTTTCAGCTCTCGGAGCGCTATCTTTTCGCCACCGGCTAAACTTTCACCATATAAACACTAAACGCTCATTTTTTATCCAAGTTTTTTATGCTACCGTCTGTATTGTTTCAGTAAACAAGATTGAAGCCTCGGGGTCTCACCACGTGGTGTTCCGTCTTCCCCTCAATGATAGATTTTAGAACACGTATTTCCAACACACAGAGCGTTCTAACTTGAGGTTTTCAAGATTTTGATGAAACAAAAAAGTTTGAAGGATTCTAGCGGACTTCCAGGCTAGTCTAAAGGAATACAACCACGTCAAAAAGTTTTCAAACTAGTGATTTTGATTGAAACAAAGTTGTATGAAAAGAATGGAACAAGAATAGAACTGAATCTAGAGACTCTTTCCGACTTACAATATGCATTTCAAGCCGTATGTTGGTCTGAAATTTCATGAACATTTCCGGTACACTTGATTCTTTTCTCATTTTGATAGCAGAAGTATCACTCGCCATGCTCAGAATCAATCATGCGATGTTTCAGATCTTTAAAATTTGGAAGAATCCATTTTGTTGCCTGCTGAAAACATTCAATCGAACCTTGACATAAAGTCCTAGACAATCAATTAAAGCGAACGTTTAATTAGTCAAAATTATATTGAAAGTATCAAAACCTATTTATTAGAATCATTACAATATGTACAACTTTTAAGTCTTTTTCAATTATTGTCCTCTCAATTTTATATATCCTCTGTCTATATCTGAGAAAATCCGTTTATATGTTTGGCCACACCAAGAATGTTCTAGAAGGTTCTAGAAGTTCTGGCTGAGGACGTATGCGTTCTTGTCCGGATTTCCGTAGTAGTTGTCATCTTCGTCACTCTGCTCAGTGTATGAGATGTACATACAGGGAGCACAGAAGGAGACGAGAAGGACGAGGATGGTGAAGCATACAGTGAACCAGAACACCGTAAACACCCACCCCAGACTGATGTCCACCCAGTCCCCCACCCGCATCACATGAGTGGCCAAGGCAGCAGACGCCATGATGAAAAAGCCTGACAAATAAAATCAGAAAACGGGTGTCTTTAACTATAATATGGAGGTTCATTACTAGGTACAAAATTCACATGTGCTTATTAGTAGAATGCGTTCTTCATAGTATCATAGGAGGAGATGTTGAATAGTCGAAAAGGATCCCAAAAAAATATAATATCTATAATAAATTATTTTCCAAGTGTTTTACAGTTAGTACACTTGGGAGGACGTCAAAAGCAGTGAGCACCTATAATTCTCTGTGCAACGCATGTTTTTGCTAGAAAAAGAGAAAAAAAAATGGTTGAAATAGCTGTATCATTTGAATCCACCTGTAATTCAAATTTCACCATCTAAGTTCTTGTTGTGTAGTATGTACAGTTCACAATATCACAATATATATTATATATGTTGAGGACAGACGAGCTCAATGCCAGACTAGTGAAATACCAGACCAAACTCAAGGTCAGACTTGAGCAATAGAAACCTAATTAAAGGTCAACTGGTATAAAACTCAATGCACTCAGACAAGGTCAACTGGTCTGCTGGTATTTGATAAACTAATTAATTAACTGGTAATTAATTAACTGGTACTATTTGATGCTCAGTTTGTCGTGTCATTTTAAAAACACAATCTCAATTCATTCTTCAACAATCAGTATCTCTTCTCTCTCCTCAGTTGAAACCTCAGATAACTCTCAAACCTCTATCCCCTAGTCCTACTTGCTCTAACTCTGAATCTTAACAGGTTATGGGCCCAGATTTCTAAACTTTTTGATTTAATAATTATTTGATTTCTGTCAGAGTTTTTTTTTAGCTTTTATCTAGCCTTTAGCAAAGCAGAGATGGACTTGAAACTGGCTGGATTCAGTGGAAAGTCTGAAGATTTTCCAGCTTGGTCGACGAAGTTTGTGGCACTGATGCATACCAAAGGCCTGTTCAGGACTGTGATGGGCAATGACGATCTACCAGAAGCTGAACCTACGCTACCTGAGAATCCGAATGCTGACCAGATGACGGCGTACAACACCAAGATGCAGGAGCGAGCTGTGCTGATCCAGCAGAGGAAAGACAACCGAAACACAGTGTGGTCACATCTAGCTCTGGTCCTGAACAACACCACACTGATGTACATCAAGAACGACTACGTGGCTGCGGATGGCTATGGCGATGGGACGAAGGCCTGGAGACTGCTGCAAGAGAAGTTTTGCAGTGTGGAGAGGCCTACAGTGGTCAGTCTAGTAGGCCAGCTTGCGAAGCTGCGCCTAGGATCAGAGGAGGATCTCGATGACTACTTCGTTCGAAGTCAAGAGCTGATGACGCGGCTGAGTGAAGCTGGGGAAGCAATTACGGACACACTCTTCAATGCGCTCGTGATCAACGGACTGCCTGACAGCTTTGAGCATTTCGTGGTGCAGGAGAGCTTCCAGCCGGCCAAGACTTTTACAGAGCTGAGAACGAGGTTGAGGAACTATGATGACTCGAGACGAGCTCGATGTGGAGAGAAGACTGGGAATGGACACATAGCTATGCAAGCTGTGAGGAAGAAGAAAGGAGCGTCGGGTGGTGGCTGTTTTGTGTGCGGTCAGAAGGGTCATTTGGCAAGAGATTGCAGATCCAGAAGTGACAGTGGTCAATCTGGTGCTCGAGGCAGTGGCTCGAATGAAGCAAGTGGTCCAACTTCAAGGAAGCAAGGGTGCTTCAAGTGTGGACAACAAGGACACTTTGCAAGGGACTGCAAGCAGGCAAAGACAGGGTTCTTCAGTTGTTGTGCAACAACCTCAATGAAGGGAGATGATCTCATTGTGGATACGGGATGCACCGATCATGTAGTGCGCGACAAGGCTGTCTTCTCAAGCTTTGAGAAATGGGATGAGGGGACAACAGTTGAGAATCCGAACGGTACAATATCAAAGATTGAGGGCATAGGCTCGGTGGAAGTGGACATACGAGACTGTCAAGATGTGACGAGGAGCTACACTTTCCACAATGTGCTGTTTGTGCCGAGCTACAACGTGAATCTGATGAGTGTGAGCTCAGCAATAGCTAGAGGGTCTAGTTTCAGCTTTACATCAGACTCTTCTCATCTTGTGGCACCGGATGGTCGACGGCTACCAGTGAAGCAGCGCGGCAAGCTTTTCTTCCTGGAGTGCAAGTTCAAGAGGAACGCGATGACTCTAGCTACGAAAGCGAAGATGGAGACAAGTAGTGCAATGCTGTGGCACCGAAGGCTGGGGCATCTCAACAAGCATGATCTAATATCAGTTGTTGATGTCGGCGAGCTAGGGTTCTGCGAAGTGTGCACAGCTTCGAAGATGCACGAAGTAGCAATGCCAAAGAAGACAGAGAACAGGGCAACTGCAGTGGGGCAGCGGGTCTTCAGCGACATCCAGGGACCATTTGAAGTTGCGAGCATGCATGGAGCGCGCTATGCCGTGAGCTTCATTGATGACTTCAGCCGTCTGGCAGTGGTCAAGTACCTGGTTAAGAAGAGCGATACTCTTTCGAAGTTCAAAGACTTTGTAGCTGAGCACGGAACACCGAAGTGCTTGAGAACTGACAACGGAGGTGAGTATTCGTCGAATGCTTTTCGGATGTTCTGTAGAGAAATGCAGGTGAAACAGGAGTTTACAGTACCTAATACTCCGCAACAGAATGGCGTGGCAGAGAGGTACAACAGGGTGATAACTGAGATGACTCGATGTCTACTGGCCGATGCAAAGCTCTCAAAGATGTTCTGGGTACGAGCAATGTCAACGGCAGTCAGGGTTCGCAACTTGTGTCCTACATCCAGCAATGAGCATCGCATTTCATCAATGGAGATGCATTATGGGAAGCCATCGAAAGTCAACTACCTGCGAGTGTTCGGATGCCTGGCGTACTACCTGGACAGAGGAAACCGGCGGAAACTGGATCCGAAAGGCAAGAAGAGCAAGTTCATTGGTTATGACGAGGAGAGCAAAGCCTACTTGCTGATGGACCTGGAGACAAAGCGAGTGGTACGAGCAAGAAGCGTGACGTTCAATGAAGACATCATTCCAGACGACTTTCTGGTAGACAGTGAGCAGTCACAAACACTGGGTCTATCAATCGAGGGATGCATTGATGTAGAGGAAACTAGCACGAAGACCATCACTGAGTCTACCAATAAAGCGAATGATAGTGGAGCAGCAGCTTCAGTGGGGGTTACGGAAGATGACCCAGTCGAGACTGAAGAATTGGAACCACCTTCCACAGAGCCTCCAGAGCAGAGGCCAACAGAGATTCCAGAGCAGCGGTCAACTAGAACGCGGAACCCTCCCATCCGATACGGACTGGCTTACACTCATGCTTCAGTGATAGCACAAGAGCCAAGAAGCTACTTGGAAGCAGTATCTGGACCAGAAAGGGAGCAGTGGCTAGCAGCTATGGCTTTGGAGGTGCAGTCACTGAAGGCAATGGGCACCTGGACACTTGTTGATAGACCAAATTCTCGCAAGGTCATTCCTGGACGCTGGGTGCTTGCTGTGAAGAGAGATGCAATGGGACAAGTGGAGCGGTTTAAAGCCAGATACGTGGTGAAGGGTTTTATGCAAGTGGAAGGACTGGACTTCAATGAGACCTTTGCGCCAACCTGTAAACCAGAAACAAAGAGAATACTACTGGCTTTGGGAGCGCAAGATGATCTTGTACTTCATCAGATGGACGTGAAGTCAGCCTTCCTCAACTCGCCGTTAACAGAAACTGTGTATATGGAACAGCCCGAGGGGTTCAGCAGCGGGGACAACCAAGTGTGTTTGCTACAACGCAGTATCTATGGGCTGAAGCAGGCAGGAAGGGACTGGTACCAGACGCTGAGCACGTTTCTTCTGGAGACTGGTTTCACTCGAAGCACCAATGACTTCTGTTTGTTCACGATGAGGGGAATGGATGATGCTATGATCTATGTTCTAGTATGGGTGGATGATATCATCATTGGCTGCAAACTGCAAGCAGAAGTTGACAGGGTGAGGGACCGATTCACTGACCGATTCAAGATGGATGATCGCGGTCCATTAGCCTGGTTTTTGAAAATGCAGGTCAAACGGGCACCTGGTTCTGTTACTGTGAATCAGTCTCGCTACATTGAAGACTGCTTGGAGCGCTTTGGGTTGGCTGACTGCAAACCAGTAGGGACACCAGCTGATATCAGCACTCAGTTGACGAAGAAGGACTGCCCTGGAGCGGGCTCAGAAGAAGCAGTGGCAATGCAGCGTGAGGACTACAGAGGCATAGTGGGCTCGTTATTGTACATAGCCAAGCAAACGAGGCCAGACATCCTAGCTACTGTGACTCAACTTTCACGGTTTCTGGAGAATCCTGGGAGAACACACTGGGTGGCTGCTAAGAGAGTACTGCGATACCTGAAAGGAACCAAAGATCTGGAGCTGTGCTACATCAAAGATCCTGATGGGTTCAACCTTTATGGTTCAGCAGATGCTGACTGGGCTGGTGACGTTGATGACAGAAGGTCAACAACAGGCTACAGTTTTCATGTGCAGCGGTCAGGAGCAGCAATCAGCTGGAGTACCAAGAAGCAACCTACTGCAGCAATATCTACCAGCGAAGCTGAGTATCAAGCAATGGCAGCGGCTGTTCAGGAAGGCCTCTACTTACGATCCCTACTCAATGAGATGGATATGACGTGTGATGGTCCAACTGTGATCAACGAGGACAACCAGAGCTGCATCAAGATGTGCAAAAATCCCGTAATGCAGAAGCGTACAAAGCACATTGATGTCAAGTATCACTTTGTCCGAGAGCGGGTCGAGGATGGAACATTTGCGCTCGAGTACTGTCCAACCGAAAACATGGAGGCAGACTTGTTGACGAAATCCCTGAGCAAGGCAAAGGTGGATCAACATCGTCGAACGCTGATGGGTTGCAGCCTGACATTGGACAAAGCCAATTCAGCCTGAGTGGGGGTGTTGAGGACAGACGAGCTCAATGCCAGACTAGTGAAATACCAGACCAAACTCAAGGTCAGACTTGAGCAATAGAAACCTAATTAAAGGTCAACTGGTATAAAACTCAATGCACTCAGACAAGGTCAACTGGTCTGCTGGTATTTGATAAACTAATTAATTAACTGGTAATTAATTAACTGGTACTATTTGATGCTCAGTTTGTCGTGTCATTTTAAAAACACAATCTCAATTCATTCTTCAACAATCAGTATCTCTTCTCTCTCCTCAGTTGAAACCTCAGATAACTCTCAAACCTCTATCCCCTAGTCCTACTTGCTCTAACTCTGAATCTTAACAATATATACATAAATATGCGCGAAATCCAATTTTGAGTTTTTTAGTTTTAATAATTCTGTTTTATTTGCTAATCCGTATAATAGAACTTCATACTGCAATACCGGTTCCACGAATGCTTTATAAAATCGAACAATTTTTCTTGATTGAAAACTATTCTCTAGTGATAAATTTTGGCTGTGAGCTTTGAGAGTTTTTTTATTAAGTTGAACTATATGCTGCTTATAATAGTGAGCTCCTAATCTAAATTTATTTTTTTTTACAAATAACGAATTTTTTTAAACATGATGATTTTACGAATCGCAGAAAATCTATGAAATGCTATCATACCTGTCTAGCCATAGTCCATTTGTATCCACGAATTTCACCTAGCTAAACCTTAGGATTAACAAAATCGTTGCAAAAATTTTGACTTCAAAATTGTTTTAAAATTCTTCCCATGTTTTTGTTTGTTTTTCAGATCATACTTTCTAAATCAATTGCTAATAATTATTATACCACTTCGCTAAGCAGTTCCATATTACGAAAAAAATTCGTTTATTTTGTTTCGTTCAGAGGTATTTTGTCACCCGTTTGGTCTCATTCTATTTAAGTTTTGACCATACGCTCCCCAATGCTACCTAGTCAAAAACAAACACCTATAAACAATTAAATCAGTGGCTAATCTTATGCATATTTTGTACCAATCAACGAATACCACTTTTTCACAAAAAGGGGTTTTTCAAAGAAACCTTTTGATTGTAAGGGAGAGCGTCTTCTTTCTAAGAGAAGCCTGAAAACGAATTCTTAGGTTCATTGAAGCTTCTTCCAGTTAATCATGATAATTACGAGAATCTAAGTCAATAATTTGTGTGGAACTTCAATGTGTGACTAGTGATACGAAGTAAAATTCATGGTTACTTTAACGGTTAGTTTTGCCAAAATATGAACTTTTTCAATTAATCGCTTTCGGGGAAATAAATAGCTCAGCTGATAAATAAATTTGGTTTCAGGAAGTGCAAAATTTTTGTTTTGCTTACGAAAAATATCTTTAAAAAAACTATCTTGGATGTACAGCGAAAAGGGCAGTTAGAGATGGCAATGGACTGCTTGTATTATTTTCTAACATTGGAAGAATGCGAGATAGAGATGAATGCTGGTGACGATTTCTCTCCTCTTGCACGTGTTGGCCACACTGGACACGATGGCGAGGATGGAGAGCAAATGGGCGAAGACCAGAGCCACTCTCGCAAACGTCAACTCATTCATCCTCGTATCGTCAGACACCACCACGTCACCATCTGCACACAAACAAACAAGACATCACAACACAAATCAGTTTACAATTCAGTTTGAGTTAGATGCTGTATTTATCCCTAAGGGAAAGGACAAACATACAAGCAAGATGCTCAACTGTTGCTCAGCTGTTGCTGAAGTAAATGTTTTTGGAATTTTTCTGGGCTGAGAATATTTACATTAAGATAGATAAAAGTAAAAACCAAAATCTCGAAATATACCATTCATTTGCCAGAGTTCTACAGATATTTTTTATGGTGTGTAAGGAAAAGTTTTTCAAAGATGAAAAATCAATGAGCAGGGTAAAATCCACTCTGCAGAGCTTCTATGGTAAACGTGAATCCAATTTCAAATCTGAATAACAAAAATGATCCTATCTGGCCGATGCCCTGAATGTTTTGATTACAAATAAACGCATGTGATCTAAGTTTAGGAATTGTTTTCCATTTGCAATGACAAGTAAAAAAAGAAAACTTTGAGTCTCATATTAAAACAAATTTTGGATCAATTGCCTTGTCTCAATTCATTTTTGAATGTTTTCTGAACTCTAATAATTCGCCGTTTACCTTACGCGTTAATAAAAAAAGTTTTGCGCAAAATCGAAAATTTTCAAGCCCCTTAACTGATTGAAAAGTTGTCGCAGACATGAAAACTGTTCATTATTAGGCTCGAAACATCAAAATCTTTTCCGGTCCCCTTTTTTACTATTCACTTTTGGTGACGGACCAGATATATCCACTTTTGGTGACGGACCAGGGGCGGATTTAGGGGGTGGGGGGAGGCGGACGCCCTCTTCTTCAGGGATTCGACACCCTGCCGACCCAAAGGGTCCCCCCTTTGGTACTTTTTAAGAAATCCACTTTTGGCCGACCGACCCTAAAATTTTTCTAAAGGCGCCTTCGGGGGGAGCGCGCGCCGAAAAAAACGCAATTTTTTGGTCAAAATTTTCCAAAAAGTGCCTAAAAACGCCTTTTTTGACTGTTTTTTTTCAAAAATTTGCCTGCGGCGCAGAAAAATTTGCCAAAATAGGGGCAAAACAATGCTCTCGAGAAAATCCTAGATCCGCCCCTGTGACGGACCCTAAAAAATTTTTTTAAGGGCGTCTTTGGCGCCGATATATACTAATTTTGAGGGGCGAGCCGAAAAAACTCAATTTTTTGGTCAAAATTTTCCAAAAATATTGCCTAAAAAAGCCTTTGCACAAAATTTGGTCGAAACGGTCTTCTTAGTGCTTTGGGAAAGCTCGAAAAATCAATATTTGGTCGACCTTAAAAAAAAGGTTGTCAAAATTTTCGAGTTGTTTTTAATAGAAATCCCCTCCCCCCCCCCCCCCCCTCAAGAAAATATTAGATCCGCCCCTGCTCACTGTTGTTTCTGAATGCGTATCTAGTTCTTATAAACCACACCCCCCTTCTCACCTTCGATCATTTCGCAGTCTTGTTCGTCCTGGGTGCACTTGTGCCACAAACCATACGCCATATCCTTGTCCATAGTCCTCAGCTGCACTGCCAGATTTTCCTCCTGGACCACGAACACCTTCCAGTCGAAGTAGACGAAGCCAGGCATGTGGCACAAACACATTAGGATGAAGGTCACGAATTGAAGGACGGCAATGAACCCAAACAGCACAGATCGTGTCGCCATGGCTTAGATTATTACGTAATATTGGTCGAACGTTGTCTGGTTACACTTTTGGTTGATTACTACCAGGGGTCAGGGTCGGTATTACTCAGTCCGTCCGCTTCTTAAAGTCACGTTTATGAAAAAAAATCGTTTGAAATCTGATTGTTTGATTGTTTGAAATCATATCAATTACCAAAAAAATAGTGTGTACCGAAAAATTAATGTGTAAGTTCTCAGCCTCCTAAGGTCGAAAGGTCAGTGGTTCGAGACCCACCTAAAAATAACGAATAAAGTTTTGTATGCAAGTTATAATTTAAGGTCAAAAAAGCGGTTCCCAGCAATGAGCAGGATATCTTATTGAATGTTGGCCCTTTAGGTCGTCGATAAAAGATCTCATTGATGGCTGGACTGGTTTGGGCGGACTAAGTACAAAGATTCGATACTTTCAACTATGCAGAAAATAATATAAGGAATAAGTGAAAGTATCTTTAACTTTAAAGATAGTTGTGTTTTGTTTTGCGTGATACGACTGGAATTTTAATTGTAATGAATAACTGGTCGATTTATGCGTTATACTAAAAAAAATATAACAGCCAACTTAAACTCTAAAGCGTATAATGGTTATAGAAACGCACTTTGAGGTATGTTCAAACGATAAACCAGACTGAAAAGCCAGAGAAAAATTACCAAGCAAAGTTAACTGGAGTACATTAGTCGGTGTGTTTAAACTCATTTGAACAGCTTACCTTTTCAATCTGCAATGTGCGTTTTTATACCGATCAAATCAAATTTCAGCAATTCATGTAATGAACACGGTCATAGCATGTGTTGTTTGGGACACACCTTTTGCGTTGATCCTTTTCTTCATTTGCATATTAATTCGCGAAAATTAATGATGCGTAAAAAGTTTCTTTTTTTTCTAACAAACACAAATAAATGTTTTCGGAAAACTGTCTACGATTTTAAACACGTACTGCGGGTATAGAATTGTAGAGTTTAAAATGCAATAGATTTTTTTTGTTTTCAGTTTTTTAAGGACACCGTAGCCTATGAGAAGGGCCATGAATTTATCTTAAAAGCCTTCCTGTTCTATGTCGGAATCATTGGAATGAGTGCAGTTCTAATTGCAAAAGCAGTACAAGTTTCATTAGATAAAAAAGGTTGAATCGTTTGTTTAAATCCATCCTATTCATGTTGAGATTTCATTATGATCGCAATGCAACGCAATGTATCTGGTGTCCTCGTTTTCATCGAAACTTGTAATGCTGACTTGTGATGACTATGTATCTGAAACTGATAATTTCAGTAAGTAATTTTTACGCAATTATTTTTGCTAGTGGAAAACCAGTTTTTCAACTCAGCTTCAAAACGAGCTTGAGACATAAGTCTCAAAAACTGATTGGCCACAAAAAAATCAAAGCTTGAGAAAATGTCGTAAAGTATTCAAATTTTTTGTGAGGTGATATTTTGTCGCAAAAGATAGCATTTAAAAATACCACAGTTTGTTCAAGAGCAATTTACCATAATCGATAGAAAAAAAAACGTGGTCATTTGGTTGGTGTGAGTTGCTGAACCCATTTAGTTCGAATTAGTTTGAGGAACAAAGAGATTCAGTTAGTATCAGGCTAACATTTATACACAATTATTCTCTAATGTACTATCTCGGAAGCCTAAAAACTATATAATACAGAGAGGCGAAACGAAGCTTTGCATCACTTGCGATACAACGCAAGCGCAACATTACAAGCTAGCGAATAGAAATTGAGACGGTTATAAAAAAATCGGAAAAATGACTTTTTTAAAATAAAAAATAGTCAAAAAACAACCACCAGTATTTATTCTATTACTGAAGCTTTCGTATTTACTGAGCGGCCACCCAGGTCGAGGTCCCAGACTCATGTCCAGACTTTCGCGACAAAATTTTGGCCTGTCCAGACTTTCCAGACCAAAATTAGGCATGTCCAGGCAGATACGGCGCGACCATGCGGCTCAGGAGACGGCGTGACCGCCGCGACCAAACTTAGCCATTTCCAGACTTTCCAGACCCAGATGGAGATGGCGCAACTTAAAAAAGTTGTTCAGGGCTTTCTCGACCGAGGTGGAGACGGCGCGACTTTCGCGACCATGGTGGATACGGCGCGACTCAGGAAACGGCGCGGCTCAACAAGCAACGGCGCGACCGGCTTGGCCAGCGCGACCAAAAAGTGCACTTTCAAGACTTTCGCGACCGAGGTGGAGACGGCGCGACTTTCCAGACCGATTCGGAGACGGCGCGACCAATAATCATTTTATCGCAACCGTAGTGGAAGCGGCGCGACCTTCGCGTTCAGAGTGGAGATGGCGCGACTTTCCAGAACAAGGCGGAGACGGCGCTACTTTTAGACCAAGGCGGAGACGGCGCGACCAATAATCAATTCTTCACGACCAAGGCGGAGACGACGCGGCTTTCCAGACCAAAGCGGAGACGGCGCAAATTTTCGGACCCAGACAGAAACGGCGCCGTTTTTCAGACCGAAGTGGAGGTGGCACGACCACGATTGTATTCCTCGCAACTGAGGTGGATACGGTGCAATTTTCCAGACCAGGGTGGAGACGGCATAATTTTCCAGATCAAGGCGGAGACGGCAAGATTTTCCAGACCGAGGCGGAGACGGCGCAACCAAGAACTAATTCTTTGCCACCGTGGTGGATTTAGCGCAAATTTAGCGATCAGAGTGTAGAAACGGACAAATTTTTTGATTGATAACTTCATTTTCAGTAATTTTTTTTGGATCATATCTTAGAGAAAAAAGCGTCTAGACCAAAACCACATTTAGTCAAATTGGTTGATAGTCTAATGATTGGCTATGACTGCTCCAAAAAGATTAAAAGTCTTTTTTGGTATCTAAGTAAATACGATAAGGGCTTCAATTTTTTCCGGTTTTTGGAGGTGAAAAGTAAAGGTTAATTGAAATTGAGGAAAAATCTCTCCGTATCCACCTTGGTCCTGGGGAATTGTTTAATGATTGCCGCTTCTCCATCTTCGTCTGGAAAGTCGCGCCGCGTTCGCCTTTGTCTAGAAATCAGCGCCGATACCGCCTTGGTCTGAAAAGTCACGCCGTCTCCGCCTTAGTCTGGAAAGCCGCGCCGTCTCCACCTTGCTCGCACCATCTCCATCTTGATCTGAACAATCGCGCCGTCTCCGCCTTGATCTGAAATTTTGCGCATTCTTCACCTTGGTCGTGAAAGTTGCGCCATATCCACAATGGTCGCGTCGCATCCGGATTCAGACTCAAATTGCATAATCATCCCAAGAGTTTGAGTCTGGAAAGTCTGGACATAAGGTCTGGAAAGTCTGGATATGAGTCGCGCCAAGGGTCGCGCCGCATCCGGATTTAGACCCAAATTGCATAGTCGCGCCGATAGTTTGAGTCTGGAAAGTCTGAACATACGGTCTGGAAAGTCTGGACATGAGTCGCGCCAAGGCGGGCAATGCATCGCCATACCCAAATAAAATAAAAAACAGTTAAACTCAATTTTAAAAAGTTGCTGAAAATCATTGGGAAGTAATGTACAACCTTTTTGTATTGATCATTGTTGAGCGTTATGCATAGATTTGAAAAAATTAACAAAAATGTTGCAAATGATGTGTCCGAGCATTTTTTTTCCAAGAATCACTTTCTATATTCCCAAGTGGATTTAGGCTAATTGGGCCCTCAGTATTTCGAGCCCTGGCCACTAAAAATTTCCGTCCATCTTTACTTTTTTTTTAACAAAATTCTGTTATGGCTGACAACAAAACCAAGGAAAAACGCAATTTTTACAATTGTGAGGGGAGAGGGCGCGGTAGAAAGGCGCATTTTTTTTGATCAAAACAATCCAAAAAATGCCTGAAACGTCTTTTGAGAACTGTTTTTTTTCATCGCAACATTGCCTGCGGCGCAGCAAACTATGTCAAAATAGGGTCTTTGTAGGGTAATGCGAGAGCTCAAAAATCAATTTGGTCGAGCTAAAGAAGCCTCGCCAGCTTTGAAAGCTTTTTGAAACTCCGCCGCGCCCTGGACAATATTTGGATTCGTTTGTGTCTTTGTGTTTGATTCTTCAATGCGATCTTCTTCTTCTGTAGAAACACATAGCAACAAAAATTCAAACAGGTTTTGCAGAAAATTTGCTCAAATATTGATTTCGTTTCAGTATAAATGACTTTTTAAAATGACGTTTTAATTCAGGGGCGGATCTACGATTTTCTCGAGGGGGGGGGCGGATTTTCAAAAAATTTTCCAAAATTTTGACGACCTTTTTTTTTTTTAGGTCGACCAAATTGATTTTTCGAGCTCTTCCAAAGCACTGTTTTGCCCCTACTTTGGCTAAATTTTCTGCGCCGCAGGCAAATTTTTGAAAAAACAGTCAGAAAAGCCGTTTTCGGGCAATTTTTGAAAAATTTTGACAAAAAAATCGCGTTTTTTTTGGCGCGCGCTCCCCCTCAAAGTTAGTATGTATTGGCGCCGAAGGCGCCTTTAGAAAAATTTTAGGGTCGATCGGCCAAAAATGGATTTCTGAAAAAGTATCAAAGGGGGGACCCTTTGGGTCGGCAGGGGGTCGAATCCCTGAGGGGGGGAACGTCCGCCCCCCCCGCCCCCCTTCCTAAATCCGCCCCTCCTTTAATTTTAGTTGTGGGAATGAAGTTTTACATTGAATTGCTTCCATAAGTTTTCATTTTTCCTCAAAACAACGCGGAAATTGGAATATTATGTGCTACTGCACTGCAATCGGAATTTGACCCAGCAAGATTTTAAATTTGCTTCTCTTTGCGATATGTCGGGAAGCAGATCTATCAAAATCCTGACTGATGTTGAGGTTGTACTTGGATAAAAAGAAGTTTATTTAAAGCAAGTTAGAAAAAACAATAGCCAATGCTTCTAGCACCAATTGAAAGCTGGTAATGCACCGTGTGTTTGATGCCATCCATGCCTCTAGCAAGGACTCCGGAAACAACTCATCTAGGTACAAATGGGGAACTGTATTTTGGGGTGCAGTGGTAGATTGCCCATTTATGGTACTTGTGGTCCCTTCTTCGGCAGTCGTCTTCATGTAATGATTAGTAGCTTCGCTGGTACTGGACTGGATCGAACTGCTTTCCGAAGTATAGTCTGCTGCGTCTGTAGTAGTAGGTGAATTCTCATCTTTTTCCCTAGTTGATGCCTGGGTTTTTTCCAGTCAATATTCAAAAACCCTAATTGGTATTTAGTGGAAAATATATTTTATATTTTTGAAATTCAAACATGTCAATGTGAACAAGTAAATGAGTTCGAATAAAGTTTTCAGAATACAAAAACATTAGCGAAATTAAAATTTTTAGAGTTTTTACAGATTTTACAGAAATTTTACTGCTCTTCATGATATCTGACAGGATTTAATTATAAGTTAATTTAAGTAATTAAGTTAACTATAAAATTAATTCTAGAATTCAAGAACATCATTTCTATCTTTAGCTAGAACCTTGGGAATGGAAAAAAACCCAGACGTTGTTGCTTCTGTGCTACGAGCCTCGGGCGTTTCATTAGTTATTTCTAATGTTGTTTCTGATGTTTCCAATGTTTCCGATGTTGTTTCAAAAGAAGTAGTAACTGTTTTAGACGTTGTTTTTAATGAAGATCTATCCAAAATTGTAATGCTTGTGATTGTGGATTGGGATGTTGGTCTTGCAGTTTTACCGCGCATGAAGTTAATGTCCTTCGGGTATGAGGGGGTTTTGGCTATG